GAGTCGTCCTTTTGCACAGAAGAAGTGGCGCAATTATTGGCATACCCAAAGAAAAAATCTGTGCTGACATCAAGGGAATCGGGGATGAAGAACCGAAACAATCGAGCTACAGTATAGATATAACATTACGACCAAGACTTTCTAGTGATTATAAATTACCTGTATCACTGGTTGTATTACCAAAACTTACATCTTCACTACCAAGTAATGACGTACAACAAATACAATCGCTTTGGTTAAAAAATAAAGTGATTGCAGACCCGACTTATTATAAAAAAGGGCCGATAGACATAATATTAGGTGCTCAGGAATACAGCAAAATCCTTTTAAAGGGGTTTGAAAAACTAGAAGACGGTATACTTGCTCAAGACACGGAATTTGGGTGGATACTATCAGGATTTTGTTCCAGAAACAAAAACAATGGAATAAAGGTACTTAGTTGTACAACACGCACAGAAGAAGTAAAACATTTAACTAAATTTTTGGAACCGGAAGAGATTCCACAAAAAGCGACTTTAAACAATGACGATACAAACAATAAACAAACAGTGATTTCAAATAATTTGGCAAGAATTTGTTATCACAAGTGTAATAGGAAACTAAAGACATTTAATATCATGTTTACACTTTTATTAATATTTAAATTTTTTTGTACTACGATAGCGGTAGAAACTTATAGTATTGAGAAGAATGGTCCAGGGTTTTACATCGAATACATTGGTAACAAATTACTTAATGTATCGCTATTGTACCCATTACTAAAAGCTTACGACTTCAATACTAAATTAAGACGTAAAATGAAGCTAGGAGATAGACGACTACACGACAAAACTTAGGAGGATTATGAAAAATATTTACTTATACAATAAAAAATAATATAAAAATACAAATACTTTACAAAATAATACAAATACTTATACATTTGGGCGACAGCCGCCAGACAACTACAAAACAATACAAATACGTATACTTTTGGGCGACAGCCGCCTGACAAATACATTTATACATTACAAAACTATACAACTACATTACAAATAAATACAAATACATTTAAAAGGCAAAGACGACGACTTGGGCGACAGCCGCCATATAACAATTTACAACACGACATATCCAAATGGATAAACCAAAAATAAAAGACAATGAATATTGTCACCGTTCTTAAACACATGGACGATTAGTGCAATGCTTGATAGCTGCAGGACGATTTATAGACAAGATAAGAATAATATTTATAAAAAGAAGAAGGAGAAGAAGAAACTCAAGTTTATAATATTTTAAACTTATACTTCAAGACTTATTAATAACAAAAACATATATAACTATATATACAAATTACATAATATATTAATTAGTATTTAATGTCACCTATTCACACTTTATAAGCGTATGCAGAAAATACAAGTATGTTTACGCAACACATATAGATACTTATTACCTATAGCCATTGAATTAATAATTATAAACAAACGCCTTCTTCATGTAACGTAGCAAAGCTGTTAATTTAACAAATAACATTAAAACGATTAACTAGACTAGAAGAAAATTGTTTTGTGTCGCGGGGGGAAAAACATGCAGTTAATTAATAAATAACTGCATTGTTCAGCACATTTTTTAAATACATGAACTATTTTAAAATGTTTTCATTTGAATTTTACTATTTCAAGATTATTTCAACGTTAGTAAAATTAATTATTTTTATTATCACGAATAACAGACAGCATGCGGTGCCAACACAACAGACGGGTCTACGGTCATCGAACGTGAGTGAAGATTCTAACTAAGGCAACAACCTGCTTCCACAACGCACCACATCGCGCGTGCAGGAGACTCTACAGCTGTACCAGCCTTTGCAGACTCTGTGGGGCGCCAGAATGTTCAGATTTCATCATTAGAACATGAACGAACTGCTGACATGGATTCGATGTGTGCTAAATATTAACAGCTGAAGAGCAATTTTAATTATATTTTATTTAAATTTTAATCAACTGTTGACTCAGATCATATGTGTTCCATATTTTAATAGCTGAGGTTGCGCGATACACCAACAGCTCACTAGGAAAATATTATGTATGTGTGAATAGGTGTAATTAGTATTTAAGATATTGTTTTATAACAATAAATCAGATTTGAATATTGCTTTGTCTTGTTCATTTCTCGCTTCCTCTCAAAGTGGCGAAGACTACTTCAAGCCCTTAATTATCGTGGTGAGCCTGCCCGGTAGCTTTGAGATAATCCCACTACCTCGAACCTTTGATCCTACCCGTAGGGCTCCGTCTGTTACCTTAGGTCTCTTGGTGCAGACATCCCGTACTTATTTATATATTTATATATTCACTATTTATGTGTTAGGGTACGTCTGTAGGGCTTAGGGATCCGTAGGGTTGTTAGGTTCTTACGTCTCACCCTCTCATATATTTAGTCATTTAGTGCAGCTTGCTTATACATACATAACATTTACTATTCAGATACTCCTGTCATTAAATACATATAAATCTTAAACACACTTTTCACAGTCCACTAACTAGCAAGCTGTTCAATAGTTTTGCAGGGCTCAACAACATATGAAATATTTTTATCAAGAATATTAATTTTCAACTGTGTGAGACACTAGTTTCCCAAGATGAGAAATGGGTAGTTATTTTACTTATTTTTACGATAGGAAAATTAATCAACTCCTGTTTATTTTCAGATCGATGATAAATTATTTCAAAGAAAAGAGCCCATATCTGAAGAAGTAAGAAAAGCAGAGCTTATACTTTATGCAGCGTTGGCAGAACATAACTTACCATTTCGGGCCATGGATCATCTCAGCGATTTATTCAGCAAAATGTTTTATGATCCGGAAATTGCAAAGTCTTATTCCTGCCAACGCACTAAATCTGCTCAGTTTAATACTGACTATTTGTAGTTGTGTTTGTTTGTAACTTATTGTAAATATTTATTATTATTTTAATGTCTGTATAATGAAGGTGTGTAATTGGTAAAATTAATAAGTGTTTTAATAAAAAAAATAATAAAAAAAAAATCCTCTTTTCCTTTTTATTTTAGTACCTATATTTTTATAATTTTTTTAGTATAATTCAGCATATTGTGTTTTAGTATTATTTAGTATTGGCACCTTGTAGTTTTACTAGCGACATCTAGTTGTATGTAAAGAAAGGACTTCTTTGTGGGTCTATGTATGATGAATTAAACTAGTCTGCCAACGCCAACCATTGTTTCATTGTTATGGTCCAGAGTCCAGACCCGTTTTTAAGTGCATTTTGGAAGTTTAAAGTATTCTCTTTATCCATACTGCTATAATAATGTCGGTGAATTATATAGCCAACGTCCCAAAGTTGAAGGGTCGTGAAAACTATGACGACTGGTGTTTTGCGGTGCAAAATGTTTTGGTGCTAGAAGGTATCGCGGATAAAATCAAGACACAGCTATCAACGGCGTCTGCGAGTGATATTGAAAGTGATGCTAAAGCCAAGGCAAAATTGATATTAACAATCGATACATCTTTATATGTTCATATCAAGCAGGCAGCTAGATAGATTATACCGGAACTTTTTCCCCAGTGGTTCGTCACTCAACAATAAGACTATTGTTTGCATTAAGTATTAAATATAACCTAGATATAACTCACCTTAATGTAACCACAGCATTTTTAAATGGGCATTTAAATGTGTTTACCTGAGAGTTTTGAATGTCATGATAGGGAGAACAAAGTGTTAAAACTAAAGAGGGCAATCTATGGATTGAAACAATCAGCTAGGGCATGGTATAAGCGTGTAGATGATTGTTTTCAATCATTTGGATATCGAAAGTCAGTGTATGAACCTTGTTTATTTATTAAACAACATAATACTACCAGAACATAATAATATATAGCTTTGTTTGTAGATGTTTTTTTTTTATTTTTTGATATGAGAGAAACTGAATGTCTGAACTAAAATCTAAATTTAAATTAAAAGACTTGGGAGACATTAGACAGTGCTTGGGTATGAGGGTCAGAAGAAAAAAAGATGAGATTTTTGTAGACCAGGAACAATTTGTTGATCATTTATTGAATAAGTTTAATATGAAAAATTGTAAACCAGTCAGTACACTGATGGAGGTAAATATAAAGCTTAAAAAGGGAGACACATGTTGTACTCAGCGTCCTTACCAGCAATTAATAGGAAGTTTGCTTTATTTATCAATGTAAACCCGTCCTGATATATTTTATTCTGTTTGTTACCTAAGTCAGTTTAATAATAATTATAATAAAACACATTGGAACCATGTAAAACGTGTTTTAAAGTACTTGCAAAAAACAAAACATTTTGGTATAAAATATGTCAAGGATGATTTAGATTTAATATGCTATGCTGATGCTGATTTAACAATAGCTTTGTCTAGCACAGAAGCTGAGTATATTAGTTGTTTTTCTTTTGTCTATATGTCAATTATTTTGATAAGGGAGTGTGTTAAATATGTATCAAAAAAATGATTCTGTTCTACTATCGACATCTAGTTGTATGTAAAGAAAGGACTACTTTGTGGGTCTATGTATGATCGAATTAAACTAGTCTGCCAATGTCAACCATTATTTCATTATTATAGCTTTTATCCATTAAAATTTCTTTGCCTACTTCAATTTCTGTCCTTTTATCTAATATAAATATTATTAATATACATATATAGAATTTTAGCCAGTTTTATTCATTTTTCATAACAATATAAAATTATAACCATTTATGTATTATATACTAAATTTATCTGATCCTTTTCCAAATTCCGCTCTAATTTCTAATCCATAAAAATAAATCTAATAACGCACTTCCTAAGTCCTAACCTTTTTGCATGGCTGACGCTCAAACCGTGCAGGCCAAGAAAGGAAAAAAAAAGAAAAAAAAGACGGGTTCTCGAAATTCGAATTCAAATTGCATTTCGTAACGAAGATCCCAGCCTTCAGCATTCACATATTTGATTACATAAAATCTACCTACATTTAAATAATAGTTTTAAAAATGCCCTGCTTAAAAAACCAAGTCCAGCAATTACTTGAGCAGAACTATAAATTGGCCCAGAAAGTGCAGAAACTGAAGATTGTTTCTGGAAAAAAAGAAAACCATTTATGCGAGCTAAGAAAAGAGACTCATGACTTAAGGATTCAAATAAGCGTGAATATTAAAATTTTTATTTTATTTATTTATTAAATTTTTTCTCATAATAAACTACGAAAATGAGAATTACTTTGGGAACACTATTTAGACTACTGAAACTAATATAAAGACATATTTCTAGGGCTTTTCCTACTAATCGTTAAAACTAATTGTGAATTATCTTTGTCTATTTACCATCACTTTTACAGATACTAAGGAATAAAGGTAGTGACTGTGCACAAAGACTAGAAACTGCTTTGCAAATGTTTACCAAAACAGCATTAACGCATCTAGTGCAAGGATCGAATGCTGTTACAAGTATAATTGAGTGTATGGAAAACTATATGATAGAGAGAGAAGAGATAGAAATATCTTCAGTCCAGTCTCTAATAGACAGCACTCCAAATACTGAGAGAAATTATAATCATAATAAGCATGTAGCCTCTTGTATGTATCAAAATAAATATCTAAGTAATAGGTTGTCCTGGGTTGTATATTAATTACCATAATAAATATCTAACATTTTAGTGACTTCCTGTCAAGGGTCAAACAAAAATCACAAGGGACAAGTTAGACCCTCGTCAAGGCGGGTATTAAAAGGTAAAGCATTTAAATACTGTATTTATTACTGTAAACTAAAATTCTTAAATCGGGATGCAAATCTCTTCATAATAATTCTCTATTCATTGGCACTGCTCAACTGCAAAGGCTGCATGATAACTAAGTAACTGTGGAATTTTTTGCAGAGTTTTGTAAGTAGACATTTTCAAGCTAATGCAAGGACATCTTTGTGTATATATCATGGATAATTTTTAATTTACTGGGTTTTGGTAGTTACTGAGTCTGCTGTGCCTTCTGATTTAAAACTGTTATTGTTAAAGCAAGGATGCATATAACACAAATATTAAACTCATTAGTATCTGTGTTATATAAATATTTAAAACTCAAAAACTACTTCATTCCTCAATATTTCCAGAAGGATACAAACCGCTTACAATGATAGATGAGGATAATATGACTCCTTATCAAAACACTAGTGTGGAAGACATGGGATTAGACGGTAATAAAATTTAAGTAATTATCTATTTACAATATAATTACTTCAAGTTTTAAACAAATAAAAATATTACGTTATTCTAAACAAATTAACTCAATAGTCTCATATGTAATTAGTACAAAATAGAAAGTAACAAATTTATAGAAAACTTTAAAAAAATTATGTCTTATAAAAACATGGTTGAACTTGTATAACTTTGTAATTATTATTAGTTATAAAATATGTAAATAAATAGTGTATGTCCCTTCTTTATTAAAAATGATTGAACTAGAATGTAACTTAACAAAGTTTTATCGAACATTTTAAGTCTCTTTGGAAACACATAAAGAGCTCACTTTTGAAGTACTATGTTTCCCAAAGTGATATAAGAAATTATTAAAATTTTAGAAGAAAATGGTGGGTTCTCGGTACAAGAGGATGGTGCAAACACACCGAGAGATGAGAGAAGGTGAGATTTAAAATTGGAATACATTGTATATTTTTTAAATGAATGAATTTTTTCTGGGGTTAGATACCCAATATATTATTTGTCAAGATTTATAGCTGTAAATTCTAATGAAGCTGGGTTTAATATGCCTTTATTGTTTGTGATTTTAGAGAAGAATTAATCATTCTTGTAGAAGAATCTGAAGAAAGCAGAACACCATCAATGTAGGTTTATTTTTCATATTACTTCATTTAATTGATTTTAACAAATTGTTATAAGCATCCTCTTCTATTTATAAATATCAAATGGCTACTGAGAGTTTGGTTATTTAAATAACTCAGGAGTTATACGTGTTTCTATGAGGTCCGGGGTAACTGGTTTGATTCCTGGAGCGAGACACAACCTTTAGATTTTTACGCGCTTTAACATTTTGATCTGTAAACAAACGAAACTACACTTTTTCGCTTAGATATGTACACACGGCATTCGAACTTTCCGGACCTTCAACAAATAAAATAATTCATGAAAATTGTGTTAATTTTAATGTTTTAATTTGTAAAGGTTAGTGAATAAGAAAGTACTATAATTTTCTTTAATATTTGCCAAATAAATGTTTCAGACTGGATCAGCCAATGGAAAGTCCTATTCCACTTGACTCTCCCTGTTTCGATGACGTGAGTATTTTAAACCGTAATAAAATAAAAGTATAGTCGTGTTATACCGAGGTACGTTTTTTAGTTTTTTTATGTTCTAATGACAAAACTCTTCGAAGGATTCACCCTGGAGCAATAATAAGCAATCCCAAGACGGGTCACCCTGGGAAAAACCGGGTCCATCTCGAAATGAAAAAGAAAAAGCAAACTCATCGCTAGAAAACGAGTGCGTGGCTGAAGTTTCACCTTACTTGCCATCACAGGAAATTGAAGAGGGAAATTCACATAAACCACTATTGAAATACAGATGTCAGAAAAGTGATTCTCAAAACAGTGAAGATAGGCCAGAGTTTGATGCGTCGAACGAACACAACAGTCATGGTGCAGTAAATATTTGCCTCAATAGGTCAGCATTTGTCATTCTTGAAACTTTTCATGTTACGTTCACGTTGAATCTGCCCTATAATACGGATGTTATACGATATTTTATTTATTGAAGTTGTACTTCTTTAGGCGCGTTATGAAAAATTGATGAGAGTGAAATTTTACGATGCGCGCGCACCTATGACACAAAATTGGCAGTGTGATATAGCGTGCGCGAGCGAGATGGGAATAAGACAATCTACAAGTAAAAAGAAATAGAATATGCGTGAAGCTAACTTCACGCATATTCTATTTCTTAGCTTAGCAGCTTAACAAGAATTTTGAATGACCATGACATCTGACAATGACATTTACCTTTTAAACAAATATAGGAGTTTTAATTATTGTTTACAATAAATAATTATATACCTAGTTATTTTCATTATACGAATTGATTATCTAAATCAATACTAATTAATATGATAAAATATTTGTGAAAAAACTGTGCCAACCTTCCTGAGTGCTTCAATACAATTGAGGTTAACTATCCGTATGTATTATCGAGTATTATTGTTGATTAAAACTGAAACATGAACCATTATTCATTGCTTTTGTTTATTGCGTTTGTTACAGCAACTTTTTAGAAATATTCTACGACCCTATATATCAATAATTGAGAACAAAGATTTAAGCACGAATACTAATAAGGAGAAAATGAAGGCTTGGAGCGATATAACAGAGAAGTAAACATTTTAATAAGTACCTGCATCTCAAAAAAATGACCACATTATTTAATCAAAACATGTAATTTTTCAGATTTAATCTAGCAAATATATGGACAAGAGACAAAAAACAATTGATGAATCAGTGGAAGTGCACTAAATTGAATCAGCTTATCGCCGTGAAACATGAAAAACTGGAGGTGGAACAAGGCCACCATCACCTTCTCGAGACACAATGGATATGGCAGAGATGATACCGCAACGGTTTGAAGTAGATTTCAATGAATTTGATTGTGATGGTGTCGAGGTAGGAATGTTAATTATAAATATGATGTATGGTGATGTTCAAGGTTCAACCTTTCAAGCATAGGTATATGCTCACAACAGTACTTTATTCCCCTTCGGACAGTGGGTATAATACACCTTAATACCTGAGTGCGAACCACTCACCATGATACTTAAATTAATAGATGTTATTTATATATTTCAGGATATTACAAATTAAATCATTTTGGAAACAATTGATATCCCAAAAGCAAATAAAGCCAACAATGACAAGGTAATAAATCAGTTTTGACATAACTTGAATACTAAAAAAGCCAAACAAAGGTGTGCACAACAGTGACAACATAACTTAACAATTTCATTATTTTGTAGGATTAAAGAAAGGTTAAAGAAAATCATGTCGAACTGAACAACAAGAATCCCCAAACAACTCCAAAGAAACCTACAAGGAAGACACCGATATTATATTTAAATTATCTCTATCTCTAAATAGAATAAAAGAAAGTTGCTATCCAGGTCTGTAGCATGTGCTACAAATTATATTATTAACACATTTATATAACTATAATAATATAAATGTGTTAAAAATTTTATAATATGAATTATACAAAATTTTAACTTTTGCATGGACAGAGCTTAAATTAATATTCTCTTATTTGTTGCAGAAAGCAGTTTTGGAGAAGCCTCGTAGATGCACAACCAAGTAATGATTAATTTAAAATTACAAACCGAAATTCTGATGAAGACATTAGAGTCACATAAAAATAAATAGTATAATGAAATAAAAATATTTTAAAGATAAATAGTGTTTTATTTGTTTAATGTAAGAATAATAATAAATATTTATTTATTTAATTTTTCAAATGTAAACTGAACTTTATTGACTTTAATGACTCCTTTTCCAGTCTTTGATTATTTAATTGTAATTAATTATTTGCATGCAATCAAAAACTATTTTTAATAATGCCAAAGAAGTATAACTTCTTACGCGCGTACATAAGTACACGCACCCTTTTTTTTTATTTATTTATAGCCTTATATTACAAAATAATATATACATTATAACTATTATTCTTATTAATCTACGATAACTGATTCTGTGTGCCTACGGGCAAAGGCCTCCCCCATTGTCCTCCATTTTTTCTTACCTATACCAATCTCGTCGAGGTTTTAGTCTTTCCAGCCATTTTCATGATTTCATCGGCCCACCTTTTAAATTGCCTACCTCTGTTTATTTTATGGCCTCTTGGCTGCCATAGTGTTATCTGCTCCTCTTATGGTATGTCCAGCCCATTTCCATTGTAGTACTTTTGTTTTATACACAACGTCAGCAACCCCTGTTTTATCTCATAAATTCTTGTTACTTATTTTGTCAATTCTTCTTTTCTTTATTATGCTTCTTTCCATGGCTCTCTGGGTTACACTTAATCTTTCACATTGGACTTTGGTAAGCTGATACATAATCTATTGTGTTGTCATCTATTTTTATTACTCTGTCATTCCTACCATTGGTCATGGCTTTAGTTTTTTGGATGTTCATTAAGAGTCCAACTTCTTTGCTAGCTGTATTCAGTTCTATGCGCATTTTTTGTAATTCTTCTGCCGTATTTGCAAATACCACTATGTCGTCCGCAAATCTCAGATGGGTCAGTTTCTCGCCATTTATATTTAAGCCATATTCTGTAACTAAGTTTCGGAATATTTCCTCTAGAACAGCTGTAAACAGTTTGGGCGATAGACGGTCGCCCTATCTTAGTCCTCTAAGGATATTTAAGTCGCAGCCTTTTTTTTATCTTTGCTTGTACCTGTGTAGATGTTCTTAATTATCCTTATGTATTTGTGCTCGACACCCTGCTTTCGCAAAGCTTCCCGTGGTCCAGTAAATCAAATGCCTTGCAGTAGTCTACAAAGCAAAAGTTTTAGAATACTTTCCGTTTTCAGGATAGTTTTGAAGAGTTTAGTCAGGAATGGTGTAATTATATACTTTGTTTCAAGTAGCACTTCATTTGAAATATTATCAGGACCTTGTGCTTTGTCTCTCTTCAGTGCGCTGATTGCTTTTTCGTCAAGTAGTTCAATGTGTTCAATTGTTGATCTTTTTGAGTACAGTTCTCTGTAATAATCTGTGGTGTAATGTCCTGCTTCTTGGAGTGTTTTACGGCTCACCAACACCACAACACTTGTACAAACGTCCTACACACAACCGCTCCGTTCGGGTGTCGGATTACGACTGACAGTCTGACAAGTGACGTAGGCGCATGAGACAACCAAGCAACACTTTATTTAGTCAATACACTACATGTGGCAATACTTATAATATCTGATCTTTTAGTTTTGTCTTTACCAGATAAATCTTTAAATTTGGGTATCCATTGCTCCTTTTCTTGTAGTAGTTTTATGGCTTTTTTAGTTCCTCCAGTTTTTTCAATTAGGTTCACCAAAGTTCACCAAAGTTCACCGTAGTCTATGTAATTTCCTGTACAATACAGTACAACAATAACTTTGGCGTTCTTCTCTCGTGGCTTTGGATCGTACAGTGGTTCGGTTTTAAAGTTCAGCATTCAACAAACTGTTCAATAACGCAATATTGTACGCGGCTAATTATGCGAATAACCTGTGCGTATTCTCCGTGTCGTTAGTGGTTGTCTTCTTTGTTAGAATAATGAATCACAACTTGTTGACGACACTTTCACTTTAGAATGATAACGGTTTTTTAAATGTTATACAGTCAGTTTATTACAGCCTTACACTTCCGATATTTAAACTATTTGAAAGTTTTGTTTCAGTTTACACTATTAAATAGTTTTATTGCTATTTACCAGTTTTTAACATATAATACACCGTTAAAATGATTGAATGCTTTAACTGATTTTTTACGAAAACTACGTAGTTTGTCCCAAAGTTCTGTCACTAGCACATTATTTCTACATTTCGAGCAGGATTTTATAAAAAAATTATTGCATTCTATTTTGGAATGTTTGATTATTGTTTTAAAACAAAAATCAATAACTTTCCGTAATTTTTCACGATGGAGTGGACATTGAAAGTAAACCGAATAGTTGTTATTGCGTTGCACCGCTGTGGACACTCGCCGAGTACCATTTTCAAGTTGCTCAAAAATTTGAATATAACGCTTAGGTTTGTGTACGGTACTATTGATAGGTACCTTGAAGTCTCCAGTGTTGAGGACAAGAAAAGAACTGGCTGGCCACGCTCCGCAAGAACACCAGCAGTAATCAAAGCTATCAAGGCGCGGATAGTAAGAAATCCTGTCCGAAAACAGAAGTTGATGGATTTGCAGATGGGTGTCAGTAGGAAAACAGTAAAAAAGGTTTTAAATGAAGATCTTGGTCTACGAGCATACAAAAAAAGAGTGGGCACTTACTTAATGCTCGTCTAAAAGCAATAAGGCTTAAGAGATCGCGGGTGTTGTTTAAGCGGTACGCGAAAAACCGACACCGTGATATCCTCTTTACGGACGAAAAATTTTTCGATATTGAAGAGAAGTACAATAAACAGAATTATACAGTGTACGCTAGGAGTTCTGAAGAAGCTGAAAATAAAGTTCCAAGGGTGCAACATGGACATCATCCATCATCAGTAATGGTTTGGTTGGGAGTGTCCTATTACGGGCTAACTGAGGTTAATTTTTTCGAAAAGGGGGTCAAAACCAGTGCTACAGTGTACCAAGAGACGGTTTTGTATCGCCTTGTCAAATACATGTCCAGCACCCTATTTGCGGGACATCACTTCGTGTTCCAGCAGGACTCTGCGTCTGCATACAAAGCCAAGACCACTAAAGCCTGGTTTGAGCGTCAAAACATCGTCTTAATTAGACATGAGGATTGGCCTTCCTCCAGTCCGGACCTTAATCCTTTGGACCAGAAATTATGACAGGGCTTAGAGAGGAAGGTCTGTGATAAACCTCATGAAAATTTGGAGAATCTGAAGTCATCTTTAAAAAAACCAGTGACTGAAATCGACACGAATATGGTGCGTGCTGCGATAGACGACTGGCCGCGACGCTTAAGGGCCTGTATTAAAAATGAGGGAGGTTATTTCGAATATTTTTATGCTTTTTTTATTCCTTAATTAATGTACTAAGAATTGATATATCACTCATTACAAACTGATCAGTACTTTTGTTTTTATCATTATTTCCATTTATGACAGAACTTTGGGACCGACTACGTATATTAATGAATCCATCACACGCACTTGCACTGATACTTTATACACTACTATATAGTTTATTGCACTCCAAATTCGCGAATATTCATTTGTTATATTTTTAATGATTTTTTATTGCGGAGCACGACGTGACCGTGACGCGTGAATCTATATATATAGACGATATAACAGTTCGCAATTCTTTGATAAAAATACTTCTGTATTTTTATCCACTTTTGAATTTGGAATAGACAAACCGAAGGTTTGCTAGTAAAAGTCATGTCGAAGGTTTAATACATAAAAATTACATTTACAGAGAAAGCCGTTGTGACAGCCGCACTATTGAGCGTAATAATAATAATAGTTCGGATACTGTTTGTGAGGAAGTACCGAATACAAGGACAAGGCGGGCGCGAAAACCTGTCACCTATAAGGATAATTTAAAATGGTAAGATTTTTTTACCACACATACATACTGGGCATTTAGTAAAAAAATCTTTTTTTTTTCTGTTTCTAATGAAACTCCTCCTGCTGGACCGATTTTTTTAAAAATGTTTGTGTTCAAGTGGATTCGGAAACGGTTTAGATTTACAATTAGATTATTTTTTTATTAAAGATGTGTGTACATGACAACGTCTGTCGGGTCTGCTAGTTTAACAATAAATAACAAATTTCCCTATTCACAATGGTGCTCTTAATTGAATTTTTTCGTATAACTCCAGTTGGCACTTTGAACACAATCGGTATCATCTTCCTTCTTTACTATTATTACCACTAATTAGCTAGTCTCTCGACAAACGACTTCTCCGAATGTCGTCATGTTAATCTGTGCTTCGCTATTCTATACCATTATATCCTTCTTATCTCAACTTCCCAATGCCAGTTTGCAATATTATTATTTTTACATTTTTAATTTTGTAAACAATCGTTGTTGTTTCTGTTTCGATTAATAGGCCAGTCATTATAGACATTCGAAATCGAAAATTTGATAATAATTCCAAAAGTTTTCAAACTTCGGTCAAGTGAATGGTACATTGGGACGACAATAAATCTCATTTTGCAACCTTGTCCGCAGTCCGGAACATTGTTAAAATTGGAATTAAATTAATTTTTGCTGTATGGTCGTGAAAAAAATTCCAAAAGTTCTGCAAACTTGGGGAAGTTTTCGATATAATATTTCATATCACGTAGGGGAAGGTCGGGACCCTTCGTACGGTTTTCACATTTTATTTTTTTATTATTTTATTTTTCCATGAATCAATCATCTGCAAGCTTAAATTTATAGTCTAACTATCTGAGATTCATATAAGAAAATGACAAATGATTTCATCTGATGGTTCAACCATAATTATGATTTAAACTAAATCTGGAAAACGTACGAATCTACCCCATCAACGGGGCACCTTCGTACAGTGTTGAGGGTACCTTCGTACGCTGTGGGGTAGTTCCGTACGTGCGATTAAAACGACACATATAAATCAAAATTCATTTATTAGCAATGAAATTAAACACAAAAATAAAGATTTAACTTCTAATAAACAAAAATAAAATACTTTAATTATAGTGAACAAAAATTACATAGCTTTTCTTAAGAAAACCAAAATTTAATTAGTTAGGTATCTTAAATTTAGAATCACATTCTTTAATCTTTGGTGCGGATTAGCACTTCTTATTTTCGGGTGTGGCAGTATAAATTCGTGGTTTTCCTGGCCGTCGTCATTTTGTTTGTTTTATTACTTCTTACAACATGCGTATAGAGTCGAAACCCTTAAGGTGTCAAAACTGACTTCGAAGGAACTACTATTTGATGGATTGGTAAATTATTCAAAGCATCTGGTTCACATGCATCAAATCAACCTTAATAAAGATAATAAAAATAGGTAATAAAAATACATCGACGATAGCAATGATAGCAACACAGGACAAAGTTAATGGAAATATTAGAGCAATTAGCACACTAACACAATCTTTCCTACCTACCAGAGGGTTTAGTCAAGATGCCTTATTATTATTTGTACGTAGCAAGTCGAAAACTTAATTTGTATGAAAATTACAGTTCGTGTCGACAAAATATTTTCATACAAATTTAGTTGTACAATTCGTTCAAATGTGCCCCATCTAGTGCTGTCCGAAAGTACCCCACTAACTGAATAACAACAAAATATAACTTATTTTAATATTAATAGGAAAACGTCATAAATTAAGTATTGGAGACGTATCTAAGTATATTTTGCTAGTTACTGATAGAATACTCTACACGAAAACTTATTTTATCTACGGTAACAAGAGACAAAAACATTGATCAAAAAAATTACTTACCGAGCGCGAAAACACGTCCATGCCTGTAACTTCATTCTCATCGGTGCGAATTTCGCGAAACTTCGATTATGTATAGTTCGTACCTCGACTCATGCACACATACAAAAACAAGACTGTACTTTGTTTCGTTCAAGTTTTATTTCGACTGTATGAATGTGCCCCGCGTACGAAGGGTAACAATCTTCCCCTATAAAATTTGCAACCAACCTAAGTGTACGGAACATTTTTTGTTATTTATTTTATTTTCGATATAATATATTCTGTCAAATTTGCAGAACTTTTGGAACGTTTTCCTTCAGTTTAATAAAGAAAAACATTAATTTTTAATCTTAGAGAAATTTAATTTAAGAGAAAAATCTTGTTCCGCTAATTGTTTTGAGCAGTATAGATACTTATGTCAGTGCGTCCAACTAAGGTGTAAATAGTGAATACAAAACCGCACAATAGTTGCAAAGATTTGACGGAAATTCAAACGTTTTTAAATGGTTTGCAAGTGTTTTCATATCAGTCGCTTATAAGATATTTCTTTTTTTTTTTCAGTAAACTTCGAAGATGATGAGAAGATACTGTACGGTTAGACTACATTGTAAATTTTATACTAAATACACATAACTTCAATCCGGTAAAAAATTGTTTTATTATCAAATGTGCGAAAGTTATGTCAATAAAGCCGAATTTACATTACGAAACTAGTGTTATGCATGTTGGAATGAGTTTCATGAAAATAGTTGCAGCACGTGTGAAACTACTTTAACAAAAAATAATAGTGTCGTGAAATCAACAGTATCACCAACGACATGGCTCTGTCAACATCAAAGCTTCATTTTGCGATGCAGAACGTCGTGGTACAGATGTTAATATATAAAATTCGAAAATTATATTTTTATCAACTGACCAACGTTGGTTTGCCATTTTGGCGGTCATTTAGCTGCACGATGCACTCAAACACACACGTCTGCCCTGTGCAAATGCTTTCGCGACACTAGTTTCGTGTCGCGTTTTCATCGTGAAAGTAGTTGCGTGACATTAGTTTTACAAAAAATATGCGCATGGCACGAAATTTATCCAGTGTCGCGAAACCGATGCATGCATTATGAAACTGTAAATTTACACGTGAAATTGTTGATGAAATTTATGTCATAAAACTAATTCCGAGCCACTAGTTTCGTAATGTAAATTTGGCTTAAAAGACTATAGTATGCATTGTAAATATAAATTGTCTATTAGACCAAAGGCTATGCTTACACTAATTTGTTTAGTAACATGAAGTGGAACGGAGTGTACGTACGTAAGTATACACTTCTTTTTTACATTGACAAAATTCTTACATACTATTAGACTAAATGGTACGGAACATCTATAAGAGACAAGTTGACTTGACTGATATTTTCAATTTTGACAGTTCTCACATTGACGTCTACCAAATTGACATAACTGTGTTTTGACAGCTACACAAAACAAAATTAGGTTAAAGATTACTTGTAAAACAATACATTTATAGTCGTATTTTTAATTAGACGAAGTCAACTGACGTTTACGGTGTTGTCAGTTTTTAATGAAATAAAAATAGTGTTCTGAAAAAGTGAATGATTGAAAAAACTCCTGAATTAATGATCGGTGATGGCACTAGTCACCACGCCCCGCTTTGTAATAAGCCGTCAAAAAACTGATTGTAGTTACATACTACTAGTACCTTACTAAGATCACAGCACTTTTATACAATTTTAAAATAGAAATAATATTATTTTATAGTTTGAAGTGATTAACTATTCACACTCATTGTTCATTCATCTGATTGAACAAGAACTGAACGTATCACTATTACTTTAAATATGTCAACATTATTTTACAAAGTAACATTAGCTACTGTCAGTTGGCTTCGTCTAATTAAAAATACGACTATAGTTAATTACATTAAAACTAAGTACAAATTAAGAACTTAATCTAGACTTATTAACAAAATCTTCGGGGCTTTATGATAGCTCTGCCGAATGAAGAATAAGTTGTGTGGTGAGTACGTGTATTTGGTGTATGTGATGTGTTTGTTTTTGTTTTAGATTCTTGGACAGGATTATTTGTACAAGGGGATTTGATAATTCGATGGAGGAGACGGCAATACATTGGAAGGCGACGTTGGATCAGTATCTTGTGGAACTGACGGGGATGGAAGTGAACTACTACTAGGAGCGGACTCACAGGGTGAAAGTTTTGGTTGTAGGATGTGAAGGGATCGGATAGAACATTCGTAGACCTTCAAGGATTTAAAAATGATGAATGAGGAACTCAATTGCACTTGGAAACACACTGATTATGCGTCAAAATACTAAATATCTCATTTAATCACTTGTCTTCACTATTGGCACTTTATTTCTTGATCTCGGGCACCCTTCGGCCCGCTTATATATACATTATACATACATAATATATCCCAGGTAACAATCGAGAACTTTCTGGGCAGGAGTAGTAGTAGGAGGTGGAACACAAATCCTTATTGCACTACAGTATAATGAAAACGAAGAACGTTCTAGAATGTTCGTGCTTTTTATCTCTATCGCACATTATAATTTATACTCCGTCCTTGTCGTCGGACATGGTCTAAAATGGGGAGTCTAGTTTCGAGAAGTTTCTGATATTCCCTCTCTCATACGTAGAAATGATACACTAGAATTTTCCTTCACCAAAGCGATTTAACCAGTCCTAAAACGCCTGAGGAAATGAGGGGAACAACGTATCCCGTTCAGTATTCGAAAAAGAAACAGTCATAAACGTCTTGTTACGAACACGGGTTGAATTAAATGTTTAATTACGTACTCAAATAAATATTTATATCTACTTCTTAAATGCGTAGTCGATTTAATCCTTCGGCTTAAAGTGAACTCTTTAGTCTTTATTCAGTGTTAAATGACGCAACGATGTGCGGTCCTAAAAGTGAGTTGACTGATGACTCACCGACACATAATTGTAAGTTGTGCGCTGTGTTACAAATTGTTACAAATTAACATTTAAACCTTGTTTAATAATTGTTTTAATGTCTGTGCCAACATTTAAATTCAACAATAATAATAAATAAGTTCCCGTAGGTACACTGTAGAGCCAATGTCTTCAATCATGTCTGTATTGTATTGAACAACTGTTAAATTTGAGTTATAAAGACTGATTCTACTTATTTTGTACTCTTCACTTATCGTAAAATAACAAATTACTATTTTACTAAATTATAACAATATGTAATAATATACAACTCCGAAGTTTTGTTATAGCGTATTTTTTTTCGGAATTACTTCAATTTAAATATCAAACAGAAATGTGTATGTTTTAGTTACGGAATAAAAGAACTTCTAAAAGTTAAATATATGTTATTTTTATTATTAATAATACATACTTTAATTTATTATTGATAGTTTTGTTATCCCATCAACTAAAAATAATTTATGTGAAATCGCTTTAATGTAGTATTGTAAAGTTTTCTATTATCAACTTGTAAATTTACTTTTACTACCAGTTCGCAAGTCCAGTGCGTAGAGCTGGTTAGAAGAACTGGCAAGAAACTTTCCGCCACTCTTTTTAATCGCCAAGTATTGTCATACAAATTGTTTGAACTGGAGCAAATCAATCCCATGGATTAGGATCATTTAAGTATTTCTCAAATTCATAAAAGCTTTATTGATTAATTTACGTTTAACGAGGGCTTTAAATTTATTTAGTGATAGTTCTCTAATGTCCCTTGGGAGTTTGTTGAAAAAGTGAATACAATTTCCGTATATTGAGTGGTTTATCTTCTGGAGCCTGGTTGGTCGTACACTAAAATTAGTTTTATTTCGCGTAGTATACTGGTGAAAGTCACCATTTGTTTTAAAATCGTATGTCGACCAAATACGTTATACGTTTGTGTTTTAAAACCAAGTAATATTGTTTGTTACTGGCAATAATTGTTTTTTGGCTACTCTTAATTTGTATTTTCATAAAGAATTTGTATGTAAATGGCATTAACTCACGCTTTGTCACCGTGACCATTTCCATACAAATATGTTAAGCATTATCTAATCACACCTATCGAAAATTAATTTTCTCTCAAGAACTAGTACCTTTAGCTCATACTAATACGTTTAGTCGATGGTGTTGAAAGTTCGAACGCATACATTTATGATATAAATTTTCGTTTAGTGAAATACGCCACAGTACTGTACATAATTATACACTAAGTAAAGTGTTATCGTGAACAGAAGTTTAATAAAAGCAATTGATAACCGACTTTATTTTTTATACCTTGTGGTTTGTACATTTTGATATTTAACTTGTTAATCCAGTGCAATTATGTAAAAAAAAAATGTGTGCGTGTACTAGGTGTACACACGTAAGAAGTGAAACTTCTTTATGACCTTATTTTTCGAAAAATGATCTACTATATTATGCAACTTTAAATTAGATAAAGTTTAACAAAAGGCTTTTATTATCATAGACATGAATACAAATACAATTATTTCATTTTACCTTATTACTACTAAGTTTCATTAATTCTAATAGAATTATTACTATCATTGTTATCGTTATTATATATTTTTGTTATTAATGGCTTCGAATCTCTTCGGATAAACCGTGGTAGGGACAAGAAAAGATGGCGCGTAACCGAAAAACGTTACGATTTGCTACAAAAATTTTCCCATACGTCTATAAAGAAGTTTCACTTCAATAACACTGTATTGTTTAGCATTAGTTAATCATATGAATATAATATAAAACTGAATCGCAAAATGTGTTGGTAAGCGCATAACTCAACAACGCCTGGACCAATTCTTTTTTTATAATATTCCTTAAGGATGGTTCTTACGGGCAGAAAAAAAAAATTGAGTGGAAAAAGTCTAAAAACAACACTTTTCTATGTTCCCATACAAGATATTCGTAATAATAGTTAAAAGTCAATTTGAACTTTAATACCATACCATAAAGTTTAAGTGTTAGGAGGGTTTCCGGGAAGGTAAATTTTTATTTTTTGACATAATGTATTTGTTGTCTTATCAACTTTCTTTTTTTTTATCTTACTAGCTAGACCGGTGTCCCGAATAGCAGAATAAGTATTTAAAAAAAATAAAGAATCGACTGTTAGGCCCTTTCTCCACTGCTCCGGTCCGGCGTCGGATACCGGAATGAGTATTGAGTCATGAGAAAAATATCGGAACGCCGGATTGCACTTCTCCACTATATCCGATGCGACAATAATCGATACTTGTATATTTATCATGCAACACTTATATTAACTAAAACCACATACTTTATTTTATTAATAAAACGTTCTAAATTCTGAATATGTATTTAATTGTTTATTTTTATTACTTTTTTATATTGTCTATCTTAAAATATTATAATCTACTTAATAAATAATTCACTAATACTATGGTATAAAAATATATGTTATCCAGATTCTTTCAAATTAAAGAAACTATAAATAAACCTGTGAATAATAATTTAAAACTTGGATACTTGGACCGATAAAACACTGCGTTCCGATCTAGCAAGTTATCGGATCGTTAAAAACCAGATGCCGGAGTAGTGGAGAAGCACGTAAGTACTGTTGTGAGTTTCTAAATCGGATAGGTAATTAACGTTTGCCGGACCCCGGAGCAGTGGAGAAACGGCCTAAGTGTAGCAGTGCCAAATTTTAGTTCCAAATGTAAATAATCTCATTTGAGCGGCGCTTTTGTCGCGGTTATTGTTTATCAGAATACCAAATTGTAACATGACACCGAAACGAACGATTTGACAGCAAAAATCAGCTGTGAGAGTGTGTAAAGTGAGTTACAGAATCGCAGGGCTGAGCCGTCAACGAGTTCTATGCTTGGTAGACGACCGCAAAAAGAGACAGCGCGGCCGCTGTAATTATTTCGACGTCTGCCATTGCCGAAATTTGAAAGCGAAGTGAGTGGTAGGGCACTGGGCAGTATGTTAACACACACTCCTCTCGATCCTGCAGCAGTATTTAGAGAATTATCACCGGCAGCGCGAGGGACAGCGGCACGGGCTGAATGTAAATGAGGTATAAGGCTATGGATAGGTAGGATTGTACCGCTGAAATGGATGTACCACTATTTTCTAAATTCTCCGACCTCAGTCATAATATCACTAAAAAGAAACAAGATTGTCAAAAAATTAATAAATTTAATTACCGTAATTATTATAAGTACACTAGCTGGCCTGGCGAACATCGTACCGCCTAAGGCCGTTTCTCCACTGCTCCGGTCCGGCAAACGTTAATTACCGATCCGATTTAGAAACTCACAACAGTACTTACGTGCTTCTCCACTACTCCGGCATCTGGTTTTTAACGATCCGATAACTTGCTAGATCGGAACGCAGTGTTTTATCGGTCCAAGTATCCAAGTTTTAAATTATTATTCACAGGTTTATTTATAGTTTCTTTAATTTGAAAGAATCTGGATAACCTGGACCAAACCAAATTATGTTGCTATTTATTTATATTTTTATACCATAGTATTAGTGAATTATTTATTAAGTAGATTATAATATTTTAAGATAGACAATATAAAAAAGTAATAAAAATAAACAATTAAATACATATTCAGAATTTAGAACGTTTTATTAATAAAATAAAGTATGTGGGTTTTAGTTAATATAAGTGTTGCATGATAAATATACAAGTATCGATTATTGTCGCATCGGATATAGTGGAGAAGTGCAATCCGGCGTTCCGATATTTTTCTCATGACTCAATCAATATTCATTCCGGTATCCGACGCCGGACCGGAGCAGTGGAGAAAGGGCCTTACGCTCCAAAATTGTTGGTATTTGGTATTCTGATAATACCATTTGACATCTCATCTCATTTTAATGTCGATTCTTTACGTCAAATTAAAAGTTGCTCTTCCCTCGCTGAAATCGTGATTTACCAGTGAGTTAGCCATTTTTAGCGAAGTTAAAACTTGTTTTATGTGAAAATATTCTAACATAGGACAATCTATATGTATGTTAGGGTAAGTTTATAAAATAATATTTATCAATACAGCATTATTTTACGAAAAAAAAAATATATAAGCATAAGGCTTCGTGAAATAGAACTTTGTTATTGTTACAGAAGGCCCGTTTCCACTTTAAAAGTTTAAACCTCTATTTCAAGAAATAAATGATGTAAACGATTAAAAATACTTAATATAATATCTATAGATGGCGAA